TCCCAAGTAGAGCATTAACTGAACGCAACTCTTTTTTTGCTCAACAAAAATTTGTAGCTTTTTGCTCATTTCTCAGAAATTATTAAAGTTAGAAGACTAGAACGTTTAAAAAAATTTTTTGTACATTCCTCAAATGAAGACATGTAATCAATGGTTGTGGGTTCAAATCTCAAGTGCGGTAGAGTTTTTAATAAAGCCGAAAGCCTTAGATGCCAGCGCTTTAAGACTTTAGTCTTAGAATTTGTTCTCGGGCTAAATTTATAATAATAATAATAATAATAATAGTAATAATATCTGCCTAAAAATGGGTTAATTCTAAAACGTATATGGCAGATATTGCGATTAATTTTTTCTTAACAATACCAGCGACATGGATATCAAATAAAAGAATTTGGAGAGTAGAATGCGAAAAGTATAGTGAGGGATATGCGAGATTAGGCACCCGCGGAACCTAACTTTTTTACTTGTTTCTAATAGTTTGCTGGCGTGGAATTCATTTAGTTCACCTCTTGCATTTCGATCTCTCCAAGTCTTCCAATGGTGCATTTCGCTTGTTAGTCAGCTTATTTTGTTTTTATTTTCTTCCTCCGTCAGCGAGGAAACAGTAAACTTCCAATCTAATGAAGTATAAAAGGCAAAAAAAGGCAGAGCTCTAGGAAATAACTGTGGGTATCGAAAGGAAAGGGTACCTGAAAAAGCTTTAGACGTTACTATAGTAGAAGCCAAAGTCTTGTGACACTAACTCGAAAATGTAGTCTACAATTTCAAGAAAAAATAACCATTGTGTTCTAGATAGGTTCACCTAACGGCCTCAGCTCAAGTGATTAAATATTACATGTGTGTCTTCTATTTTGTGTTTCCAAAGGTAGACGCCAGTAAAACATATTTCTGATTGAGATTTGGATGAAAATGTCTTCATTGCATTCCTTGGACCTTGCCATTATCTGTGGAATACAATGCATACATACTTCAACGGCGCACAGAAATTATTAAAATCTATTATGAAAACAGTGAACCCACGGCTAACTTTCGACCATGTCGAATGAAACTCATATTTAGTTAAATGACTTCATATATAAGACTTGTTGTCTCTTCACTACAAAGGGAACACATCAATGTTAAACATTTTCGCAATTGGTTTCCTCTTGATCCTCATTAGACCCCGGACATGAGCAAGAAAACGTATTGTCACTTAATTCAGGTAGTGTGAGATTGAGTTCAAATAACTTCCATTATTATTTTAAAATTTATTGCAGTAAGTGAAACTTGTTCTAGATTTTATCTAAAAAATTGTCATTGCATCTAAAACAGTAGTAGTTCTGCATACTTTTTGATAAAATTCAAATTTATTACAAAGACTTACGACCGAAATATTCATTGTCACTATCTGCGATCTTTTGCCTGTTGTGGGGTAGCTTAAGGATGCCCCTCTTGGCATCGAGCCACTTTTGCGATGATTTGCTAAACATGACTGCATCGATCTGAACCAATGCTAATCAGCAGTAGAGTGGGTCTGAAGAATGCGGGGAAGATACCAGTCCAAATTGAAAGTTACTTCTTTGGTTACAGACATTTGGGGACCTTCGTCTGCAGCGAAACTAAAACTTCTAACGATTACATATTACTACTACTGCTACTATTACTTTCACCTGAAGCCAATGTAATCACTTCCATAGCTTCAGCTGCACTTTTCCCCTTTTGAAAACAAAATAACATGCCGTTACCTAAATGAAAATCGTCCATTTATCCTTTAATATACACTGAAGCGCAAGCAACTGAAACTTGCGCCATACAAATCTCAATATTTGAGCTTTCCATACCCAAAATTTCCAAAGAAATTAACGCGTTAAGTATGCTTTGTAAAGCAAGCAATTTCGACAGGCAGAACTTATTGACAGACCTAATAAATGAATCACTGTAGATGTATTGTGTCAGCATATCTAAACGAGCCCAGCTCTTGTACAAAGAGACCTCCGAATAAACTCTACAGGCTTAGCTGTTAGAAACCTATAACTATTCGCTAGTTAAGCTTACTCAGACCATTCTTTATTAATATAACACAACATTAGTTCAAATGATATTTTGAGCTAAATAATTTTTAGTGAAAAAAAAACGCTGTAATTGCCTACGTAAAAATATTCAATCGTTGCAACCCTGATCAATATAACGCATAGCTAGCTGTTAAATGAAAAGAAACAAGAGAACTAATTTACGTCGGGAGAACAATTCTTCATGCAACAGTTTCACGTCTTGTGGGCATGTTAAGTTACTAAAACATTAAAATTCAAATTGAATAAATTATGCGTAAGGACATTTAATGCATCCCTTATGCAACTTTCAGCAAAACATAAATTTATTTATTTTCCATATCTCTCTCTCTCTCTCTCTCTCTCTCTCTCTCTCTCTCTCTCGCTCTCGCTCTCTCCCTCACTCTCTCGCTTCCGCTCATCGGATCAAACTTCTTTAAATTAACCTACATGCTACATAGTTTATATACTAGGGCTCTTGATCAGCTTAAGAATATAAGACCCCGCTAATATGTTATCCATTCTTCCACATTATTGTATGAGAAAATATTTACATATACCTTCCACGTGCTAATAACCGCGACTATCAAGTCTGTTTCGCAGGTTCGAACCCCAAGGGCGCTTGAGTTTTTTTGGTGATTAAGAGTTAAAAGGGTGAGTAAAAGTTAAAAAGTAATATATACCGTTACGGTTACAGATCAAATTTCAAAATGAGTTTTATCCGCCCACACCATTCACAGCACGTATTTAAATTAAGTGTAAATACTTACAAATGCATACCATGTCCAAATAATCACGACTATCAAGTCTGTGTTGTGCGGGTTCAAACCTCAAATGCGGTAGAAATTTGTTTTGATTGTAGCTGCAGTGAACGCTCAGCAGTTAAAAGTGTAACACTTAACCACTAGGCTGTGCCTCCCACCCCTCTATTTCTTACCTTTCTCCCTTGTCTTTCTGCCAGTTGCTATGTTATACGAATAGGAGACAAACAACCCCCGAGCGATTGATTATATGAAAGAAGCAGAAAAAAAAATGTTTTAAAATCAGCAAAAAATCGCCGCAATCCGTTATAGATATGCTCATAATAAATGGCAAACTTTAAGTTATGATCTATAAAAGATAGTGACTTCACATCTGTTAAAAAGTTTTTCCTAAGGCCAAATAAAAAATCTCTGCTTTTGACTGGCCATCTAAAGCGAAATATTTTTCAATTCTAATATATTCGTGGGAGTTAACGGATATCCAAAATTCATCCCAATTCGAATATAACTCTCTTAATTGGATTTTTTGTTTTTTACTTGTTTTGTTTTTGATATTGTTTTCAATAATTAATTGATCTGCACTTATGCAACGATTGCATAATCATGTACGAAGTGCGAATGCAATTATGAGAAAAAAATGATATTTTTATTTTCGCTGCTGTACTTCTCAATATATGCTATCTTCTGGCACATTATAGAAGATGAATAAGAAGCCCATCAAATGCTCTTAGCACATGGAATGAAGTTTTTTTTTTCCAAGAATGCTATGAAACGAGGACAAAAATCTTCTGTTCCTCTATTCTTTTCTTACAATTAAAAATTGCTTTGCACAGAAAAACGCTTTACTTTACATGCTTGGCCCAGTTCTGTGCTAAAAATATCTTGATCAACTTATCGTAAAGAAGAGATTTTTAATTAGTAAGAAAAACCACTCAACTGTTTACTCAATCTCGATTATGATTTGAGAGTTTTGTATCAAATAAGAAATTTAATCTTCAATTTTCCTTTACATCGTTCTCATCTTTCGAGAAAAAGTTGAGAAAAACTTTGTGCAATGGTTTTCACTTCACCTACAGCTTCAGAATTTTGTTTGAAGTTTTATGCATTACACGTTGACCTCTTTAGAAAGAGACGATCATTGCTTTACAATGCAATCGTACAAGAAGAAGAAGAAGAAATTTCAAAAAAAAGTAATGAATGCTTGGTGTGAAAAAATTCGTTTCAAACTGAATAGAATTTCTCTTGCAAATATGTTTTTTTTCTTGTTCGTAGAGAAAGAGAAAATTTGTTCATTTATAGTTGTTGCTGTTGCTGTCAATTCCATTTAGACAGGAAGAAACATTTTTCAATTGATTTCAAGTGCATTACTTAGTATTTTAAAACGATAGAAAGGTAAACAAGAATGCCTTGTCGTTGCCGTTACCGTTATTGTTGTTGTTAATATTAACAAATAAATAACATTGAGAAAATTATACTTCCGCCATGTGTCTGCCTAAGTGCTTTATCAATTCCATATCAATATAAATATTTTCTTTCCTTATTTCTAATAAAACTTTGCTTTTGAAATTTTTTCTCCTAAATTAATCTTATTAACCAAAGATCAGGAAATTTTTTCTTCAATCTTTGATTACAATTTTGAATATTAATATTAAATATATTGAATTAAAATTGAAAAATAATTTAGTAAGAATTTAATTGAAATTGCTATTAAAACATCTTGTCTCGTTCTCTCTGTTTTATAACTTGTAGAACAGTTGTTTACACTAAAAAAAATAAAAACGCAATAACAATTTTATTTCCGGCTACGTATCTCGAGTGTGGAGAAAGAACACATACATAGAAAGATGCTCATAGAATTACATTTTTACCTTGAATAGAGAGGAAGAGAAAAATTAATTATAAAAACAATATTTTGTTTACATTTTTTTTTTTTTCTTTTTTTTAATTTGCACTAAGCATACGAGAATATATGAATGCATGCATGCATATGCATGATTATAAATAAGAAAAAAAAAAAAAAGAAGAAAATAAATTAATAAAACCACAGTAAATAGTTTTAAATCAATTTTAAATACATAGCTATAAGTATTTATTTATTTATCATTAATTTATTTCCCCATTAAAATTATATTGTATATATGTATAAATATGTTTATGCGGTTTCTTTTTTTTTTTATATGTATATAAATCTCTTTTTAAAAATCTTACTACTTTTACTTGATTAATTGCATTGTTTTGTCTTTACGTAGCGATTGTTTAACATTAAGCGGCGATAGGCATTTAGTGCAAAAAGTTGGATACTACAACTTCAGATGCCTCTTGGCTTGACTTTTTTCCAATTTACGTGCACGCAAGTGAAGAAATTCTCTTCTCACTTCAGAAGAACGCATTTCCAAAATACAATTTAATTTTTTATAGATTTGCTCTGCTAGAGGTATAGACGCCTCAAAATCGTAATGTTTAAAGCGCATTTGCGGTGGATTATAAGCAGATTGATTATGACTCGAAGCATTACTACCGGACATATTAAGAAAGCTAAACGATGTCGAGAAATGTGTATGATGGCTAGGACTGGTGGGTGATTGTGCCATAGCAATAGCAGATGTTTTGTTTTCATTTAAATTGCTGGCTAGCAGACTCGAAGATGTTCTTAACCATATACGCACCACAGCCCTCATCGTACGCCTTTCGACAATCTCACAATTCGCCACCGAGTCTATTGAGTAAGTGATTGCCCGTTGCTTATTCCAAAACTTTCCTTGTTTGTGTTGATCAATTTCAATGTGATCTCCAGAAATTCCCAAAGTAACTCCAGTCTTAAAGAAAAGTTTATCGATAATGTTGAGATTATATGTTCGATAAATAGGAGCCTCTAGAACGTCATCTTGATTGATTATACGTTGTTCAAATTCATCCATACGTTGTTCTTCTTCCGAAGTTGGATTTTTGCCAGAATCTATATCATCTCGATCATCGGGATTAACAAAACCATCTGCTCCCACACCTGTGCAACTTAAAGAATGTACAGCCATAGCTGCTAAACGCGCCTTTTCTTCTTCCGAAGTCATTGATTTGGTGGGGACACTTATCAGATCATGATCTATTCGCATTGACGAAATCTGACTTCTACGTTCAGCTAAAGTCAAATGGGAAAAACCAAATTTTGCGCACGGTTCTCGGTTGTCCAGCGGAGGAAAATCCTCCAAATCATCATTATCTTCGGTCATATATAAACCATAATGACGTACGGACTTCAAAGGTAAATCTGGATATTGTAAAGTAGCCTTATAACAAACGAAACCGATAACCTAAAATAAAAAAATGTAGTTTTCTATGAAAATTCTTTTACATTCTGTCGCATCGCTTACCTCATGTATCTTGGCACTGGCTAAGACACAAATTTTTATCGGATAATTTCGTTCCTTTTGCGTTAACATATTCAGAAATATATTAATGCGTTTGGTTTGAACGCCGCTCTGCGAAGTTCCATCAAATTTAGCATATTCTTGAAATTTGTTTTGCACCTGTTTAGGGCTATTGGCCAATTGCATGGAGAGCTTACTTTTAATCATCGATTCTTCTTTTTGATGATTTGCGATTGGTTCGGCGTTGATTTGTTTACGTACAAAGAAATCACTGCGTTCTGGAGGGGTAACCTCTTCATCATAATTTACGCATTTTGTACGTGCCGCCTTACGCCGAGCAATATCCATTTTCTCCAATTTTTGGGCGGTATTCGAACGAAAACGATGAGCACCCACCTCAGGATACATTTGTATATCAAACGATTGTGTGGTTAAATCAATATCCTCATCGTCGCTTTGATCTAAACCAGGATAGCAAACGAAGTCTACTTCCTGCAACGGTGGATCTAAATTCCTACACAATTGATTTGATCCCATAGAACGACGTTGCTGTTGCTGATTTCGCGTAGATCCATTGCCATGATACTTTTTCAAATAAAGTTTCGGCATATCATCAACCATAACTGTTTCACACATACCCGTATCATCAGTCGATATAAACGAGTTACGAATGTGGGATAGTAACCAATGTTTATTAGAATAGGTAGCCATTATTTTGTTATTTATTATTATTATTTAAGTATATCAGTATCCGTGACTTCAAGGGCTAGAAGCAATTTGATGAGCGAAAATATATATAATGTATATAATTGCTTGCAAATATTTTTCGTTTTCTTAACATTTCTTTTACAGCCTTATTAATGTTTTATTTTGTTTTTTAATGTTTATGTATGTGATGCTTATTTATGCTTTGAAATTCAGGTGAATTTCAGACTCGCTGATTTAATTACTCTCAGATGCTTCTAAATCCAGGTGAATTTCAGACTCGCTCATTTAATTACTCTCAGATGATTCTAAATTCAGGTGGATAAAAATCACAATTAATTAAAAAGTGCATTTTTTTTTATTATTAGAATAGGTAGCCATTATGTTTAATAACACTTTAATGATTGCACTATAAGCCAATGACCCGAAAATTACAACACATATGTTATCCAAATTACCAGAAAAACTTATTGGAAAGCATCCAGAGATCCCAATAAATATTAATAAAATAAAAGTTGCTATAAAAACATTTTTAAGTGTTTTTACACTTGTGTCAAACATAAAAAAATAAATTACTGGCACCACTATTAATTATCAGCTGTTAAGTTAACAGCTAATAAAAACAAGTGTTTTGTTATCATCAAGTTGTTTCCTCCAAAAAAAAACTAATGTTTTGGAAACCGTATACAGCAAAATGTTGGGTAAAACAGTGGCGGCAACAGCGTCGGCAATTGGTGACAACCTGGACGCCACTAGCTACGGCCTTCAATTCACCTCCCTTTAAAAGGCTCAATTTAACACGCAATGAAGTGGTAAATAGTTCGAATATTTGTTAATTTCTTCTCGTGAATCGTTTCCCTATACAATGGAACAGGGCCTTTTCGGAATGGGTGAATTACGCTCGTATGAAGGTTTCTATTTGATGCGTGAAAATGCATCCGATTTCGCCGAAACCCTAATTAAGGAAGCTATATCAGCAGAACGCAAACGTAACATTGTGCAAATCTTTGACGAATTGTCCGATACGTTGTGCAAAGTGGCCGATTTATCGGAATTTATACGCATTGCTCATCCAAACGCAAAGTACATGCAAGCCGCTGAAGATGCCTGCATTAATATTAGCAGTACAGTGGAGCATTTAAATACTCATAAGGAATTATATTCAGCTTTGAGTCGTGTTGTGCAAGCAGGAGATGTTGTACCTACCACCGAAATAGATCATCACGTTGCAAAATTGTTTCTATTCGATTTTGAACAATCTGGAATTCATCTGAAGGAAGAAGAACGCCAAAAGGTGGTACGCTTGAACGATTACATATTACAGTTGGGTCAAAAGTTCATGCATGGTGCATCTCAACCTACTGCATTTCCTAGAGGTAAAGTCCCCGAGTCGATCAGAAACTATTTCCCCAGTGAAGGCGACACCATTCTTGTTTCTGGCTTATATACGAGTTCTACGAATCCTCAAGCACGTGAGGCTGCCTACCGTGTTTTCTTGTATCCTTCAGTAAAACAAGAAGAATTGTTGTCCGATATGATAAAGTGTCGCCATGTCCTAGCCCGTACTTGCGGTTTTGAAACATATGCCCATCGGGCCTTAAAAGCCAGTACCGTAGAAAAGCCGGAAATGGTTGAAGAATTCATCGACGTCTTGACGACGGAATTAAAACCTAGGGCAGACAAGGATTTTCGTACTATGGAAAACATGAAGCGACGAGAATGTGGTAACTCGGACGTAACTGTAGCTGTTTGGGATACGCCTTATTTCACATCTTTGATGAAACGCATCGCGTTAAACGCCAGCGCTGACGAATTTTTACCTTATTTTAGCTTAGGCGGCTGTATGGAAGGATTAAATAATTTGTTACGTTCACTTTACGGGATTTCATTGCAGAACACTCTCATGGAGCCAGGTGAAGCATGGCATAGTGATATATATAAATTGTCAGTGGTTCATGAGAAAGAAGGTTTACTCGGTTATATTTATTGTGACTTCTTCGAACGTGAAAATAAACCTAACCAGGATTGTCACTTCACCATTCGAGGTGGTAAATTAATGCCTGACGGTAGCTATCAATTGCCGATTGTGGTAGTAATGTTAAACTTATCACAACCACGATGGACAGGTCCTACCCTGCTTACTCCGTCCCGCGTGGATAATCTTTTCCATGAAATGGGCCATGCTATGCACTCAATGTTAGCGCGTACTGAATATCAACATGTAACCGGTACACGTTGCAGTACCGACTTTGCCGAAGTACCCTCTGTACTAATGGAATATTTTGCTAGTGATCCCCGCGTGCTGCGCACTTTTGCTCGCCACTTTCAGACGCATAAACCGATGTCAGAAAACATGTTGCAACGTCTATGTAATTCGAAGAATTTGTTTTCAGCCAGCGAAACGCAATTGCAAGTATTTTACTCAGCTCTGGATCAAGCATATCACGGAGACCCAAAAAATCAAGGTTCCAACACTACAGAAACTTTGCGTAAAGTACAAGAAAAACATTACGGTTTACCGTATGTAGAAGAAACCGTAAGTTTATTAATTTTTTGTATCCTTATAGATGGACACAGTTTATTATTTCCTTACAAATATTTCAGGCTTGGCAATTGCGTTTCTCTCATTTAGTGGGCTACGGAGCCAAATATTATTCGTATTTGATATCAAAAAGCATAGCTTCTCAAATTTGGCAGACATATTTTGAGAAAAATCCCTTTAATCGTGAAGCTGGTGAGAAATATAGGCGTGAAGTTTTAGCTCACGGAGGCGGCGTACCTTCACGAAATTTAGTTGCCAACTTCCTAAACTGTCAGCTCACTGCCGAAAGTCTCGCTAAAGGTTTAATTCACGAAATTGATGTTAATGACAAAAAAATTGAAGATCTTATAAAAGTGTAAAGCAATTATTACGTGCAAGGAAAGACATTTTTTTAAAAGCCATATAGTGATCTATTTGTAAACATTTAATTAAAAGTACTTTAACCTGCAGACTTATGCTGCGTATTAAAATAAAATATAATTACGAGTTTTATCAAGTGCGTGCTGCTAACGCTGGCATAATTTCCACTCCAACAAACTCTTTAGCGATGCGAACTCCCAAAAAAAACATACCTAAACTCTTTACGATAGACCTGAAAAGTATAGTCAATGAAAAATGAGGTTAAATCAATGATGATATCTATTAATATGAGAATGAATTGGTAAGCATACCATTGAAATTCGTTTTCATATATTGTTTTCACGAAACTGCCGAGATTTAATCTTTTTTGAACCATCTTATTTTGTTTGTTGTTAATTTGTTAATTTTTTTCCTTAAGAAGAATTGAATTTGCTTTTACTTTTATTTATATAGTTAACAGCTGATTGTGTTACAAGGTTTGTAACGAAATAATAAGGTAAAAAATGTGCGAATTCGCATATGTGATATTATATGTCAGTGATTGCTTACTTGAGATAATTTTTTTTTTTTAAGAATTTTTAGGCGGATTTTCACTTTTGTCCTACAAAACTTTACTACATTGTATATTAAAAATTACTCAGCTTTTTCCCAAACGCGACTTTATCAAATTTCTTTCGATTTCGAATTTGCAAAATAACCATTAAATTGAGTTATTCGTTAATGATTGGTTGGAATGATACCAAAAAATCAACGCATTGAAAAAAAAGTTTATGTTTGTTCGGAATTTGAAAAAGAAGTTTATCTGAAATCTCTCATGATAAATTTTTATAAATACTTTTCACATATGTATTAACACATAATAATAATAATAAACTAGAAATCATTTTGTTAAACGAAGATTTTTTTGGGCAGTTTATATTCGTCAAAGCTAAGAAGAAAATCAAGTGCAATTCTTCTTACCAGTTGGTCTAAATCTAGTCTTAGCCTGTGTCTCAGTGTTGGTGAATTTTTTCACTTTTATTATTATCACTGCGATATTTAAACTCACTAAAATCATATTTTGCGGACAGAAATTATGCCAGCAATTCAAATTGAAAGCCTGCTCAAGCAATTTTTTTCATTTGGCAACCCTTCAAAGATTGAATATGAATATGAAATATATAAGAAATATATAAAGAGGAGGTAAAAATGTAGATTTGATTAAAATCTATGCAGATTTCCTTATACTAATAGAAGATCTACATAAATTTCTAGTTAACCCGGATAGTTAGCAGAATTATCGTAGAAACTACAGTGATGCCAAGTTTATTTACTTTTAGGATAAAAAATAACAAAATGTACTTCCTGAAAAACTAGAAAAAAATGCTATAATTGGAGAGCAGAGAATATAAGTTGAATTTATTAGAAAAATATCTAGGATATAAAAATAAATGTATTAATTGTATGTGCCCAGATTGTGCAAAATGCAAGCATTCTTCAAATCACTCCCATTGGCAGTGAGGCCAAGCTTACCTCGTCAAAATTCTTTACACAATTTTATATTAAAATTTTTATCTTTTATTCTAATTATTACATTCATAGAAACCTTTATTTATATGGACATCATTTATAAAAAATTAAGTGAGAAAAATTTTATTACAAACAAAAACGAAGTTAGAAGGCGGTATCTAGATTTCAAAAATTTTTAAATGATTAAAACTTTCACTACCAAAACACAAAAACTATGGCACAAGCTCTCAATAGACATAAAAGTTAAATTTTATTTTGTTGACAGAAAATTTGCCATAAAATTAAAAAGTGTTAATCTAGAATTCAAAAAAAAAATGTACACGATCGATAAAAAATCTAGTCGTTCGTTTACTTGTTTTAAATTTACCCGTCTGACTAATTAATTCTTTCTTTTTGGGGGTTGTTGACTGGAGATGGACCAAGCCAATAAATTTGTGGCTTATGTGTCCAGATAATAAACAGTCGTAATTATTGCTAAGAATTATATATAAAACACATAAAAAAAAAAGCGGCCGTAATAGCTAACGCCGACTTTTTTTTTAATACCTTTCTAGAAGCTAGCTTCAAAAACTCCATAAAGAAAGTAAATTTTTGACCATCTTTAAATTCGGAATGTCCGTAAACATGCCCATCTGTTCGCCTGCAAAAGTAAGTATAGTGCCTACAAAATTGCCAAGGAATTTAAAAATGGTCCAAGCAGATCAAAGACTATGCCTGGAACGCCCACGCGTCTATGCGACGGAAACTGAGAACATCTATATTTTTCTTTTTTTTAAATCTTTTATACAATAACGGCGATATCGCAACCGAATATAATTTTCTTACTTCCACGTTTATGATAACTTTTTACCATTCCTTATCGTCACTTTTAGTTGAATTCATCTCTAAAATAATCTTATTTTAGACAGTTTGCAAACTTTTCCTCACATGACTATGTACGCTTTCGCAATCTCTTAATACATTTAACGTATTGGCCGCAGTTTTTGATAATCATCATTATCTATTATCTGGACATGTAAGCCACATTTCACATTGGCATAGTCCAATCAATTTCAACGCCAAAAAAAAAATAGTAATATTTAAATTAACCTGCTTAAGCATTCGCAAGAACTCATCATTTGATTCCCTTGTCTATTAAAACTCAATAAATATATTTTTATTGATTATCAGCCTTCGTATTCGCTAATCTTTCGTACTAATTGCTCATCAAGTCAATGTACTGAATATTTTTCGCAATTAATTAATAGTGTAAAAAAAAGATGAATTTATGAGAACGTGATCAATTTCTTTTCACCGGCAGATAACCCTTTATTAATCTCTACTAATCAGTAAATGAAAACACTTCGAATTTATGAATTAGGCACGAGTGTGTCTAGTCCGTTGTTTTTTTTTTGTTTTATTTATTAATTTTGTTTTTTTCTTTTTTTTTTTTTTGGGAGCTAAACTTTGCGGTGTGTAAATTTTTTCAAAAAATTATACATAAATTCCGGTTGATCTCTAATAAGACGATGTCCGGCATTACGCACCATAACCTCCGTTAAATGGCCGGCTCGCTTGTAATATGCTTTGACATCCTTCCGCTGATTGCCGTACCATAAGTGACGTTCTGCACTATGAAAGTTTTCAGACGATTGAAATTTCAAACTTTTTACCAAACGACGAGTCACACCGTAGCCCAATAAAATATCCATTTGACCTGAACAAATGCATACCGAGTAATTATTATTTAATAGCTCTTCAAGCCAAGGAGTAACGCTCTGCATAAAATCCGGCTTCAGCATGTTGTATACCTTATTTTCACCCTTAAAAATGTTGGAAGCAAAGGTTCTCGATCCGACATGCAATGCTTGATGCATTTGTATGGACAATGCAAATTTTACTATATCCATAAATGGCTCATTATCCCGCTGAATATGCAAATAGTTATATGTATGTAAATAGCCGGTAAGATTTTCAAATACTGTCGTTGCAACGTCAACACCATACAGCAAAGTATCAATTTCTTTCCAAGCTTTTTCTAAATCGTTCTCTTTAATATATAGTTCAGCATTTTTTTCGTATTTATGGAACTCCTTCAGACCGTTATCGTCAATCAGACCCAAATGGAACAGAAAATCCCCATACTGGATCTGATGTAAAGGATCAATTAAGCCATTGCCAATAATGATGCCGTTTAAAGGAATTTTTATACGTGTATTGTGAGAATCCAATGTCTTGTAAATGCGATAAGCCAAAGCAGGTATATATTTACCCGCATACGATTCGCCATAAATAAAGAATTCTATATTTTCTGTATTCCATTCAAATAGTTCAAACAGTTGCTGTAGGGCTTCATGCAAATTATCAGCCACATCTTCCATGTTACGAGCGTAACCTTCTTCGTGATCAGTAAAGCTAAAACCACTTCCGACCGGATTATCCAAATAAATAACATGATGAGTTTTACACCAGCGATATTCACGTTTCCTTAATTGCCCCTTACGGTCCAAAGCAAAAGGGCCAGTTTCAGCCAAGACACTCATTATAGATGACAAACCGGGCCCTCCCTCCAATGATAGCAATAAAGGCGCACTTGTAGTATTAATTTCCGATGGGAAATACCAAAAAAACATATTTGAATTGTATTCCGAGTTAACTGTCAAATAACCCGAATAGCTTACGATATCATTAAATAACTCTCCCGATACACGACACATTTCGCGTATTTGTTCACGAGACACCGAAGCATTACTAATAAGCGTCGTTAAAAATAAAGGTTGCGTCATATTGTTCGCACTAGTCGATCTTACTATTAATAAATTCAAAGGTAAGAAAGCAAATACTATAAGAAAATCTCGCATGATTACAGCTTAAGTTCTAATCGAATAATTTAATCTATTTCAAGTAAATTGCAATTCACCGCCTGCGTTCAGAATGCAAATGAGAACACTTTCAAAACGGAGCTGTGTTTTTATATGAATTACAAGCGAACACTCAGCAATAATTTGCTTAAATTTATAGAGGGAAAAATCGAAAAATTGTCCTCCAGCTAGCTCTTAAAACGAACAGTGCTCTTACGCTTAATGAGATGTGTACGTTGAAGGATAGTAAATTAAACTCAACCGTACTGAACTATTCAAGTTTAATTCCACCGGTCACTGACGTTGGAAAACTTTTCGAACTGAAATCTATATACAGCCTTTCCCTACTATTCCTGTTGTCTACAAACCAGAAAAATATTTTACTTTGTGGTAGAAGGACTACTAACGTTGCTTCTCTGGTTCTTGTCAGAGCGTCGTTGGTCATGTTCGGCAGTTAAAAATAAGCAAGCCCCTGTATTGCTATCCGCTCTAAGAAGCTACATCGGTCACTGAGACAAAAGACTAAAAGAGTTACTCTTGGAAGCCAAAGAAGGCGGATATTACAATAACCAGAATTTTGTTAGATAAAACCCTTTGCAAACCTGCACTGACTGCAGTTATTTTAAATACGAGCAAGGCATGTGCAAGGCCTCTGCATATCGAACGTCTTCAATCAATTCACGAATTCTTGCATTTTCCTCAAAATGGAATAGCCTCAGATGCAAAGGACAAACGTATAAAGGTCAGTTCATTTTTCTTAAGGATAGGAAGGAAGGAAAGCCTATACGGGAAAAATTGGGAAAATTTATCTACCTGAGCCTAACTTAGTCCAGTGTAAGACATCATAATACTATTTAAAACACAAAATACATGGGCAGATAGACGGAAATTTTTATTTCCAAAATTTCTCGACAACATTTGCTGAGTAATACTATTTCGGCATATAAGATGAAAAAATGTAGATCGAATGGACAAACACCCTCGAATACCTTTCGTACAAAAAGTAAATTTTAACGTGAAAAAGATGCCTATTGTTTTCTTTTTATACTATTTGTTATATAAGGGTAAACATCCGAAAGAACTTGAGATAGACCTATCTTTTATTGCAGCGATCAGAATCATTTTGTGAATCAATCTAAGCGTGTCTGTCTCTCTGTCCGTCTGACGTTTTTCTGGTGCTCGTTTCGTAATTTTTGAGATATTTTTGTAGAAGAACTTCCTCGGCTTTGCATGGAAATAACGTAGATTTTTTGCCGTTTTATCAGGCAATTATAAGCAGAATTATGAACTATAATGTTACTTGCCTTAATTTACTTTAACTTTACTTCTTACATCATACGCTATGTAGGCTATGTTAATTTTGTACGGACGTAGCTAAGGGAGCTTAAGATGGACCCACCTTTTTTATTATACTAATCGTTTCAGAATCATTTCTCGAATCGATATAAGTCTGTCTGTCTGTCTGTCCGATATCGGTCCACTTTTTCGACCAATCTCTCAATATAAAAAAAATTGCAATTTTCAATACTTTTCGACAAAACTCTGTGTGTAATAATATTTCATTATTCTACATTAGTATGAAAAATATGGTTCGGTTGGTGTAGTTTTTTAAACCACCTCTCATATAACCGTTGCTACAAAAACGGAGTCATGGTGAAAATTGATTAGTAAGAGTAAATTGACAAAGAAATCAACTTCTCCGAGTTTGAACCACGCATATAAGGATTCTCAAGAAATGCAAACCTTATACGCATACAAAAAGACCTAATTTTTAAGGTTTTATGATGAAAGTTTGTTCATGATAGTAATTTTAAACAAAACTTAGGTGGCCCAGATTTGCACCACTTGGGTCTATTTCATAGACTTCATTACATATAAGATTTCTCATGTACAGTAAACTTGATGAAAATTGGTTGATAGCAGTAAAATAAAGACAAACTTAACATTGGGAAGTCTGGATCGCGTAGATCTATTTTTAACATCTATAAAGGTTATGAAGAGTTATGAAAAGCAGGCTCTTGTATGAAGAGAAAGTACATTTTCGTGTTTCCTATCACAAAAACTGAAAAATAGTAAGTAAATTAAGTTTCCTGAATTTGGACGACCTTATATTATGTTTTGGGCATCCTCCAATATGCGGTTTTTGTTGAAAAGTACACTTTTGCATGAAAATAATGTGTAATCTTTGATGTGTCATTACCCAAACTAGCGAATAATTATGCTAGGAGAATCGATGTAAGGTATTTAAATATCGGCCTTATATCGACTATAATGTTCCTACCTGTTTTAAACGAAATTCCACATTATTTTAACGTTAAGAAAAACATGGATGCATCTTCACCTATATCCTTAATTATTTATAAGTGTAAGCTCAATAAATGAAACGAACGCATAAGTGCTGATTTTTTTTGGATTTCCATATATTTTTAAGATTTTTTTTAAATTTCGTATCGCATTGTCTGTTACATCAGCACATTTGGTGTTGGATATACTGTTGACGTAGGCATTTTCTAACTTGGTAACACTATTTTTTCTATTTTGTTTTGCTACCTTGTAGCGTATGTGGAGTAAAAAGTGAAAGATCTTCAAGCCTTTCCTTATTTCTTATTATATTTCAGTTGTAGTTAAGAAAATCCTGGTTAAAATTCATTAAAAAAAGAAGAAAAAAATGAGCGGAGCTAATCGTGAAGCAATACAAATGCAAATCCATCAAGATTGGGCTAATCGTGAATATATTGAAGTGATTACAGCCAGTATAAAACGTATCACGGATTTTCTGAACTCTTTTGATATGTCATGCCGTTCCCGACTGGCCGTTTTAAATGAGAAATTAACAACTTTGGAAAGACGTATCGATTATTTGGAGGCATGTGTTACTACCGGTGAAACTTTAACATAGAAAAGAATTATATTAATTGTCTGTTAAATTCTTAAACGCATACACACAACTATCCAAATCGCACTTTTGTTTCGATGATGATTTCATTCGCATGGATTTATATAGTAAATATAATCGTATTTAATAATGTAAAGTTGAAATAGTATTATTTTAAAATGTTTTGCTAAATGTATTATAACAAAATAAAAATACAAAATAATTTGTAACGTGTTAGTTGAGTTTTAAAGCCTAATAAGAAGAATATATCGGCAAAAAACCTAATAAGTAAACGAAACGAAGTGAAAACACTATAGCGTGACAAGGCCCACTATTAAATACCCTATACCACTTTGCAGTTATTCATATAATGACTTTTTGAAATAAGAACCCGTACGGCAAGTAGTCGAAGAAGTGATCCGATCTAAATCATTTTCAAAAGCTTTCGTACTTGAGCCAAATCAATTTCGTTAAAATATCTCAAAACTTGCGACCTGTATGTTGAAAACAGGAAAAATGATTGACGAACAAGCAATCGATTTAATAATAAAAGTCCTTCTGGGCATTGCACGTATTATCGCAAACGTAATAAATGCTTGTAAAACAAGTGGTCTAGGATATAAAGATTATGAATATAGCAAGTAAAGTCAGTATAAATAACTTATCGATTTGAGCATAACGTCAGATAAGTTCTGCTGCTTAAATAGCCGTCGATATAGACCGTTATTGAAAAGTGAAAAGCAATCGCTTGCTAATCTGTTTTGGAAATGCTTGCCGTAAAGCAATTTCTTCTCAGGATGTAAAGGAAAAGATAAATTATTCGGGTCTTTTAATACAGTGAGGTCGATTTAAATTATTTGCTTATCAAAAAGAAAGAAAAAAGAAGACGAAAATTGGACGATTCTTCGCACTAAAAATATTTGAAAATTTGCAATTTACAGGGCGAGTTGGCATCTTCAAGTTAAAGAATGGATTCACAATCATATCCTGATATGTTTCTTAAACGATATTTAAAGTGTTGATCTATTTACTCAGCAAAAGGGCGTAACAGATAATCTCAGATTTGATTAACTCTTAGCGTTATTTTGTTTCATAACTTTTTCTCATCATCATCATCATCTGATCGAGTTTTTGTAACCGAAAGCGAACCCGGATCATACACAACAACAATTTAACGAAAAATAATTCTTTTCGAATTTTTTTTCTAAATTTGTAAAATTGTTTTTAAAAACCTTATACTCACAAACACGTTGAAACTGGCCTAAATCAGTTAGCCAGGTTATTTTTGAAAGTGTAAGGCGGTGGGCTCTAAAACACAAAATATGTCAATTGAGAATTAAACGCATATTGAAAACACGAAACTTTCTGAAATCTGACCCACCATCAAGGGAGTGATTATTGCCGCCTTACGTTTGTATGTTGTAAACGAAGCATCCTCTTCTCTACATCTATCTTAGCTTCTTACTTTCCTCTCTCTGTTTGCAAAGGTTTTTTCTTTCTTTTGCATTGGTTTTTGTTGCAAAGTTTCATTCACATGCGGTTTTAGAAGTAACGGCTGGCTTTACTTTTACGTAATGCTCAAAAGTCGGAGAAATAGTATTCTCTATGAAGACCCATGTATTCTTAAAACTAAAGTTAGAACCAGAGAAAGCTAAAGCAGAATAATGCACAAGTTTGACTTTTTTTTGCAATCGCCTAAAGCAGCACATAAATGTTTCCCGGCTTATTTTTGTCGTCAATAGGGGTGATCCGACTGGTCCCGTGATATTGATACTCGAATGCATTAATTTAAATCCGTGCGTGCTTACAGTGGAATAAGACGGAGTGCATTGTGTATATGTATGTCGGACGATGCTGACACAGACAGACTAGCTCGGACACGGTTATACAGGTTAAAAATGTCTGTTGGGCCCATTATATCATTCCCATCTAAATTAGTTCTGTAGACTGCTGTTTAAGATTTTTGCTCATCTAACGGATTTCTTTTGCGATTACGTTCGTATTACAGAATTGTGAATTTCGGGATAGTATAGACATTATTTACACTTCTTAGAATATCTAGGCACAAATTCTTTATAGGAAATTATATGTGCAACGATTGTTCTGGTCTTGTCGGTTTGAATTGGACTCCATTGACATTACCTTTTACAAATATTCTGCTTATATAGAATTTTTCAAGCAAGTCACCAATATCTAAATTGTTTTTCGACAATCGCCAGCTGCGTGAGGTAGGTAAAGTGCTATGAATGTGTGCTCTTTTAGAACTTGTTCTCTTACAAAATTTACCAAATTTCATGCAAGCGCATTTTATCAATTGTGGAATTTTTGAAATAATACTTTCTGACAGACAAGTGAAATTTGCGGCCCGCCATCATTAGTAATGATAACAAATATTAGTATTGACACAAAAAGAACAGGTGGCTTTAATAGCCGCATTAAAGAGAAAATTAATGACAATTCTCTCTCTCTCTCTTACGTCAATCCCAACTATTTTCGCACTGTATTCAAAGCGTCGCGATCCACCGCGCACCATGCAGAGATCTAACATTTCAATTTGCAGTTATCGAGAAAAACTTAGAATAGGACCGAACTTGGAATTGTGATCGTTTAAACCTCTCTTCAACTCGGTTAACTAGCCCAGTGGACATCCTAAAAATTCTTCCAGAAGCCAACAAAAAAATACATTCCTCCTAAACCAGGCTAACGCACAACACTTACTTTCCTTTTTTGCCTATTTCCGTCAAAAATTTATATCTTGACTCGTTAATATTAAACCTACCATGCGCGGTCAAATGACCGTTTTTAAAATTTCCTTTAAAATCTCTTGCATACAACGTTACTGGATCATGATGTAGCTTATTGGCTTTTTCTAAAACATATATACAACCTATCTTTCAATATTTACAACTTTTTTTATTGTTTATTTTTCGAAAACAAATTATACCATGTCTAGTCTACCACGAACGGTCATTTGACCGTTTGAAAAATTTATGTTATTTACGACTATATTCTTCGATAATCGCATTCTTGCAATTGTTTTACGAGTCTACAATGTAATTGTAGACAATCCACAATCCAATCAATGTGTCTACATTGTAGACAAATGTGCGGTTAGAATAAATGCATGGCGTTTGTCGTTTCGTTGTTATTGAAACAAAGACCACAGCGTTTTTTGTACAACAGTACGGTCTTGCGATACGAACAGAGAGCATCAAAATTTCAGTGTGTAAGAGAAATTATAATTATATTGTAATAAAAATTATTACGAGTGATTATTATTAAGTGATAGTTTCGACAACAGAGTCAACAGAGCCAACAATATTTTGTGGTATTATTTACAATTGTTTTTTTTATTTCTGGTCTCAATGATTTTGCCCCGTTTGATTTATATTTTTATATTTTAGTTTATACTTTATCATTTGTGCATTCATCCCCCAAAATGTCAAGACATTCGAGGAATATCGATTTATTAGACATGATAAATAATATCGACGAGAATTGTTCGGAAGATGATCAAAAAGTTTACGATATTGATGATGATATTGCAGAAAATTATTGTGACTTATTTGACAGCGATACGGACGAAGAGAATATTTTGAATACACGAAGAGGACAAAAAAGAAAGACATTTATAGTTAGTTCCGAAAGTGAAAATGAGGAAGAGATTGAAACTGCTGTGGACGGAACTGTTTGGAAAAAAAGAAAAGAAGGGTCTAACAGTGGAAAAACATCGATTTATAATATTTTCGAGGAAGTATCAGGACCGACAGAATACGCTAAACGAAATATTATTAAGGGCAGAGTTAAATCAGCATTTTCTTTGATTATTGATCATAAAATTATTAAACATATAAGAGAATATACGAAATCAGAGGCATTTCGAGTGTTGAAAACGAGATGGAATTTATCTGTTGCAAAATTACATGCATTTATTGGACTTCTATATGCACGCGGCGCATATGGGGCTAAAAATATTAGTTTATCATATTTATGGAACACGAAATGGGGCTCGTCATTTTTCTCGTCAACTATGAGTCGAAATGACTTCGCAGAAATCATGAGATTCCAACGCTTACAAAACAATAAGTTCGCATTGATTTCTAAAGTTTGGTATAAATTTATCGAAAACAGTCAAAAGTGTTATAAACCAGGAGCGTATTTTGGTATAGATGAACAATTGTTTCCTACAAAAGCACGTTGTAGATTTACTCAATACATGCCCAAAAAACCGGACAAATTTGGCATAAAATTCTGGTTAGCTTCCGATTTAAGTAATAAATACATAGTAAACGGCTTTCCACATTTGGGAAAAGATGAAGGGAGAGAATCATCAATCCTACTTGGAGAGTTTGTAACTTTGAAATTAGCAGAGCCATATACGGGCCATGAGAGAAATATAACAGTTGACAATTTTTTTACAAGCGCGTCACTAGCAAGTAAACTTCTAACAAAGCGAACAACGCTTGTTGGAACTATCCGGAGAAATAAAATCGATGTAACCGATCGAATGGCCAGAAAATATAGTGTAAAATCTAAATGTCAAAGATGGCCTTTACAGGTATTTTTCAATATCTTAGATTTAGCCGGGATAGATGCTTGGATTTTATATAAAGAAACGACAGGTGAGGAAATATCGAGGCAAGAGTTTTTATTTCAATTGGCAGAAGAACTTGTGATCGAATATCAGAAAGAGAAACAGATAAGCCAACAATGCTCATCAAAAACAATAATAAATGCAAATACTGTTTCTTCTGAACGGAGATCTTGTCAAATAAGATATTGTAAAGTCAATAAAACAAATAAAATTTGTATAAAATGTAAAAAATACGTATGTGGAAAATGTGCAATACAAAATGTTGTAATTTGTAGAAAATGTGATGAAAATGCATAAAAGTAAATAAAACATACAACATCGAAAAGCGGGGAACGAGTTTTTATTGTAGCATCAGAAAAATATTTTGTTTACTATATACTTTACTAAGGTACATGTTTTTTTGAAGCGGTCATTTGACCGCTCATGATAGAATTAGGTATACATGAAATGTCGCTAGGTTTAGCGTTAAAAGAAAATCTAAAAACCGTTAACCCACCCTTCAGCAACTTAATACGGTGTCGTTTCTGTTCCAAGATTTCATTGGGAAGAGCTTTTACTTCTTATACTGTTTTGTGTAACATAGAGAGCAAACATTTGTAGCCATTGAAGACTCCGTGAACTGAATGTTGGCAGCACGTTGCGTGTATGCAAGAAAATGTCAATCAACCGTTTTTTCTCTCCTGACTTTTTAATAGTAAGAAAATTTTTCATTACATTTTCGTTTATTAACTTCGGCTTTAATTAGCTTAAGTATGCTCCGATTTCCATCATAAGCAAAGGTAGTCCAGAGTCGGGTTGTGCCTCAAAACGATGCTAAGTAATCTATAGAAACCGTTTACCCATCTCTTGCAAAGTCCGGAATCAGGTTACACCTCAAACCCATGCCAAGTAAGCCCATAAACACCTTTTAACCAACTCTTCCAAAGGTAGTCTGGAGTAAGGTTACATCTCAAAACCGTGTCAAGTAATCCATAAAAATCTTTTATCCATCTCTTCCAAAGATAGTCCGGACTCTGGTTACATCTGTAAACCATCTCTTCTAAAGGTAGTTCGGAGTAAAAACTCTTTATCCATTTCTTCCAAAGGTAGTCCGGAGTTAAGTTATACCTCAAAACCGTGCCAAGTAATCCATAAAAGTCTTTTATCCAACTCCTCCAAAAGTAATCCGGAGTGAGGTTATATCTGTAAACCGTGCCATGTAACTGAAAAACTTTTAGGCAATCATTTGCACATAGTTTAGATTAACAATTAATCTGTCCGTCCGACTTATAATAAATACTGCATCATTCATATTAAAAAAAGAAAAATGATAAAAAGAAATAATATTTTTGAAAATTTTTAAATATATTATAATAAAAGAAGTACCGAAGGTACCGAACTGTTTTCTTCGCGTTGCCATAGTTACCTCATCGATTCAATAGTGTCGAATCGGAGAGGAGATCCTGACAGGTCTTATTTTCGTCACCATGGCGATGCCATGTGCTATGGTGCATAAGTCACAATGATTTCATATCAAAATTGCAATTCAATGATGAATTTTACTGCGGATTTAGTAAATTAACACAAGACAAAATAATCGGTTCCCAAAGCAATATATAAGTTGCAGACGTGATATGTATTTAAAGAAATGTGTTATTATTAATTTTTTTTTTTTATAGTAGTCCACTCTTGACTACTTTGCGCCCAGCGAGCAAGCTTAAATTGATTCTGAATGGATTGGCATAATGAAAGGTGGGTCTATTCCAAATCCTTCTGGGTGTTGCACACATCTGTCCAAACTGACGTAGGGTATAAAAATGTAATGTTTATTAAGCCCAGTGGTCCACGTAGGAATATCAACTTCTTGCTTACTGGGTAAGATAAAAGCTTTTACAAAATTTTAGTCATTAGGAGGTTGCACCTTTTTTTTATTTATAAAAATCTTACAGAATAAACATACAACGTGTAAATATCTTTCCTTTACTTCTGCAATAAACATTACCACTTATATTGCTATATATATACTTAAAATATGAGAAGAATTAAACCTAATTTTAAATAAACTTCAAAACATTTTGATTTGATTTCATTTTGTAATTGTACCCAGAATTAAGTCGGTTTCATTAAGAGTTGAATGCGCGGTTTTGGTTGTAAAAAGAACTTGCTATTGTCAAATCTCAACGGTGCAATGGTATTTTGACATGGAGCAAATCTGTACATATTCAATAATGTCATCAAACCCACTAACAATTGCTGCATGGCAAAGTGTTGAGCTATACAAGAACGACTGCCCAAACCGAAGGGTAAAAATGCACATACTGGTCTAGTTTTCACTTTCGAGGAATGAAAATGCTCAGGATCGAATTGGTAAGGATTCTCATAATAATCGGGATCGTTGTGGATAGCAGCGACAGGTATGATTACATGATTGCCACGTTTCAATGCAAACACCGTATTTGGTAAATCGTAATCTTTGGTGGTCAAACGTAACAGGAAAGGATACGGCGGATATTTACGCAGGGTTTCTATAATAAGAAGAAAAAATTATGCGAATTAAATTTTAAATTGCAATTTAACTGAGACTGAACGGAATGTTACCATTTAGTAATTGTTTGAGATAAACAAGTTCATTTAACATTTCGTGCCGCATACAATTCTCATATTTCTTCAGCACTTTCCTCACTTCCTTTCGGGCTTTTTCTTGTAATTTCGGTTGGAAAGCTAACTCGTATAAGCAAAGTGCCACTATCGAATTGCAAGCTTCTAAACCAGCCCAAAGGAAACTAAAAGCTTGTCCAGCAATTTCATTATCATTCATTTTGCAAGGGAAACGATTTTCTGACCATATACGTAAAAAATCATATGGAACACTTTTCAATTTTGCACGTTCTTTCAATTTACCGCGCAGCATATTTAGACAATGTTGCGTAGATTCAGGTTGAAATAAACGATAGTTCATCCATCGAGCCCAATTCGGACAAATAAATGCTAAACTGTTTGGCATCCGGATATTGAGAAAATATCGACGACTCTTAATATTAATATAATTTAATGCGAATACACGGAAAGCAATATTTTCTTCAAAATCATCGCTCAAACCGTAAGCCAATGAACCGATAACATCCACATTAAATTGATCTATCAACCCGGATACGTCGGTCAGCGTTTCGCGACGAATTTCCTTTTTTAATGTTAACTCAAAGTTCTTACGCACTTTCATTAAAGCGGGATAGGTTTGTAGAATTACGTCTTTTAACCATAAATGCTTCGTTTTATCATGTAATTCTTTCCATGCCGTACCATCTAATTGAATAAGATTTTGTGTTAACGGATCTGTGCTTACATTATTGTATAAACCGCGATCTTGAAAATGATCAGCATTTACTACCAAAATTTGATGAATAGCATCAAGATCCAACATTAATACCATCGGTTTTAGCCAAGCGTAAAAACCGATAAATGGTGCTTGTCCACTATAGAGGGTGTAGAAACGTCGCAAAACATCAGCTATATGCAGTTTACTTCCAACACCTTTCATATGACCCCAAGGTATTGTGGGTTTAGCATGCAGAATACCACGATATTTCCAATAACTGAAAGCCGCTTTCACTATTAAATAGAGAATTGTTGTCGAACCCAAAAGGGTGAGCATTAAGAATTGTGGCAAATTCATTATTCGCCTCTTTTTGCAGTGCTGAATTATGTTGCCGCCTATTCGGTTAATAAGCAATTTTATAATCATTCGAACATCCGTTATGGGTTTTGTGAAGTGTTTCACTGTTTAAGCCTAGTCATGCTTCGACGCTTTCATTAAATATTCAAGCTTGTTTTTATTGTTCTCCACGCTCTAAGAATTTGCTCTGAAAGTAAAAGAAAAGAAAATAGTTTACAAATGTTTTAATATAATTTTTTTTAAATAGATCTAATAATAATGGAGTGATGGAAAAAAGAAACAAAAAAATGTACTCGAGATAATAAAAAAAATGAAATGATTAGTTATTTCAATGATTTTAATATTTTTTTAGATCTAAGTGAGATTATATTCGCATTATTATGCAATTTACAGATATGGTTGAGGTTATGTTCAGCATGTCATTTAAATTGGCTGCAACAAATACATTCTTTCTAGTTGAGAAGAACTTTAGCAATTGAATTTTTTTTTTTTTTTTTGGTAAAATGTTATTCACAATATAAGTCTGAAGCATACGATGTCTCGATGACCTACTGACAATGGCCATATAAGACTTCTTTTCGTGTTTATCTGTTCCCTCGACATTTGCTAGGTGTGACGAGTTTTATCGATTCATCTATAATATGATTAAAGGATGTAGAAGTGGAAATTTTTCTATTTTATTGCTTTTTAAAAAAATATAATTAGAGCGGTTACCTAAAGCAATAAACACTCAAGATATTTACTTGATCGATTTTTACTTTATCTGGAAAAGTTTCGAATCAATTTCACCACGGATTTAGGTTATTTCTAACAGAAATGGGTTTTTGTATTTATTAATGTATGAAGAAATTTCAGAAAATGTTTTCAAAAAGTTCGAAGCGTTTGGCAAAGAGATGAGTTTTCATCTTAAAATAGGCAAACAAAGATTGTAGAAGGAATTATCTATAAATTCATTGATATTTCGCCAGCGTATATAGCCTTTATCAATAAGTTCTTGAACAGATGTCGGTACTCCTGAGAAATGAGGGTCCTAAAAATTAAAAATAGAAAAATTAAAATAAGCAAAAATTTTTTTATTTTCACATTTTGTTTCAGCTCCGTACCACTATCAACAGGTAAGTGTTTTCTCGGTCTCTGTGCATTCCTGCAATACCCTTAGAAGAAGCATCCATATCGCCGCCCATCATAACGAAACCACCAATATCTTGAAAGTACTTCGCCAATGATTCGATATGATTTTCCAATTTCTCTAACTTAGTTACATGGATTATTTTGCTCGGCACATTATATAAAGCATCTATCACGTAGCAAACTTCGAGAGCACCAATCCAATCACGAGAATCTATAAATTTTTGGTTTTTATCTCCTAACATCACTAAGGTTTTTTGTATTTCTTCTATCGATGGTACATTTTCACTTTGTCCCTTTTTATTCAATATCCAAGAGCACATTGACTGCAATGAGCGATATGCACAACCCCAACCATGGTCTTGATAACCGTCACAACCGTAATGAAAATACTGAAAATCACCCAATGTCAAATACGTTTGTCCAATATTTTTCTTGTTGTTGTTGTTGTTATTGGGCTTGGGAACACATTTAATTATATCGTTAAGTAAAGGATATTCATATGATTTCGGTTTTATGGGAATTTTACTTATGTCACAATTTGATTGCTCTTGTCGTTGTAGTTGCTCCATTTAAATTGACATTCCTTGGCCCGTAATTTTAATCGATTTATTCATTTATTTAATACGACTTTGCTTGGCTTCACTAACTTTTTATGCCATTTTTGTTGTTTTTTTTTTTTTTCACATACACTTCGATCTCGGTATAAAGAGTATAAAGTGGGTATGTATTCGAATTTTTTTGCAAAAATTGCTTTATAATATTATTTATAAGTATTGCTTAAGAAACTGGTTTTACTATGATAACTACATTAGACCAATATACTTTTCTGGTCGTACAATATACTTTCTGGTCGTACACATTACGCACTATAAACATACAAATGCAACTTAAAAAAACTTATGGTTGCACATATTGGTATATGGAACAATAAACAAGACTTGAAATCATATTTTTATACACTTCTTAAAAACTTTATATATATTATTGAAATTTTGTCTTAGATGCATTAGACGATGGGATTCCGTTTTTTTTTTTTTTAATTTTCCATGCTTCCGTTTTTGTTTTACATTTCTCATGCATTTTGCTTTACACTGGAACATTAGTGTTGTAAAGAGGTCTTAAGTAAAGACCGCATGCATAGCAAAGTCAATCTCTCTAACAAGCAAAGTAACAATTCGTGTTCGTATACCCTACATTATGTATTAGACAGCTGCAAAAATTTTTATCACTTTTCCACTTGTACAAAGCATTAATTGTGGAAAATCAAAATAGTTTCTTTTATTTCCTATAATATTCGAAAGAACTCACGCAGCGATCCACCCAATGACCCATTTGCGCACCTCCTCAATATTGCGGACCCCTTGTGCCAACCGAACTTGAACTACTAGTAATCAGAAGGTGCCGTGTCTGGTTAGCACGCTGGGTGTGGCAGAAGTTCCCTTTCGAGCTACAACAGTGTATCCAGGAAAACAAGTGGCTAAAAAATAGCATCTCTTGTCAATTCGTATCGCTAATTTTAAACTAAATCGACAATTGGGATACGATGGTGCAGTATCACCATAACCCTCTGAATGTGTTTGGTGGGCTTCGGCAGCAGATTTCTTCAAACAAACAACAACAGCAATGAATTTGGAAGACGAATATTGAGCGCTCAATAACCATCGAATTCAACCGCTATTTACAGTGGCATTTATCATTTGCTTTTCAATTTTATCTACAGAAGTCGTTGACCAAAATTTTTGCAAACTCCTGCTCGTGGTATGGGGTGTTGTAGTGTATGCACGTTACGTTATACACTCAAAATAAAAAGAAAAGTAAACGCTACGCTACCGTACGCTTGCGAGCACGCTAAATTGCATTTTCGCCGAGAGCATGACACTATACCTGGCGGCCCATACAAGCTAAAATTCAAACCATCTAAAAAATAGTTATTTATGTGACCACCATCTAATTCGGCACTATGGCTAGCTATTCTTACCTGATTCTACTTACCCTTGGAATCAACATTATGAGATATTCTACCTGCTAGTGATTTTTCTTCATTCTTCACTTAGTTCTTTTTGGCTCGTTAGTATATCTGCAAAATACATTCCATTTAGGAGAAGCAAGGTCTTTAACATAAGCTTTCTATGCTAAGAGATCTTGCATATAGTATGTCGGTCGAGACTATATTTGAATTAACAGCGATTCAAATGAAGCACATATGATTGCACAGAGACGATACAAGTGGACATTGAAATTGATTCGTAGTATCCAAAGTAGATTGATCAGATGTAAGGAAATAATCCAAAAGTGACGAACTTTTATAACATTTGAAAATGTGTTGGTAGCATATTATGCGGTGAAGCCATATTTCTTTGATTATATAAAGAGCACATTTTCAACGCTTTTACCGGATCGTATACATCATCATTAAAGTACTCCACTACAATTATGTTACTGTGTCTCTCGAAAATATCACAAATCTTTGATTCAAGGATGTCAATGTTCCCTCTTGGTAAATAAACAACACCCACCACTGTCATTGCGTTGCTATTGTCCTCAATAGCAACCATTTCACATTCTCTACAACGTGAGCCTATCGATATAATTTTATGTTGAATATCCGTTGCCCAAACTGGACCCCAAAAACAAATATGCGCTTTGACAAACGCACATACAGATTGTTATAACACTAGCGGCAGCTTTATGAAAATGAAGATTACGCACAGTTCGCATCGAATCCACAGAGAATAAGCACGTATAACTCCCCAGTACGTAGCGATACTACCAATTTATCGACATCAATAAATGAGATACTGGCAGCATCTAATCTGATACGTACACCGTCTTGGGGTTTTAATGGAAAATTTGTACTGTGATCTGCTGAACTATTTAACGAGACACCATATGGCGGCTTTGACTGAGAAATATAATGGAATTGACGGTCGTAACTAAGCAACCTCCCATTGGTTTCTGCATCGGAACACATGTAGATAGTCGAATGGCAAATATATATAGGGTGAACACGTTGTTGTATATTCAGAGATATCGCCGCGAAAACGCAAGTGGACTTCCCGCCACCTAAAACACTCAAAGATTTACGATCATTCCTTGGAATGGCAGGCTAGCCATCTTATCTGATGCACTTTTTTAAAATTTTTTTTTTTTTGTGGATGTTAACACAGCCACGGTGAAGATTCAAATGACCGAATAGATGAAAGCAATGCACGTTTGCGCCTGCAAAATTTCAACTGGTTTGCAGAAACCGTTATCTTCTTTTATTATATATATGTATATTATATATATATGTTATGTGAAAGCGCACAGTTATTAAAAACAAACTAGCAGAATTGAAAAGCATTGCCATCCCAAATACTTTTATTGACAGTGGTACGGAGATGAAACAAAATGTGAAAATAAAAAAATTTTTGCTCATTTTAATTTTTTTTTATTTTTTAAGACCGAAGACCGCATTTGATATTTTAAATAAACCAAAATTGTAAATAATGAAGGCAACATTTCTAGTATATAAACAAGCAAACAATATCAATATGGAAATTAATTGATTTTCAAACTTCCCAAACCGTGCATGCCTTGGCATATTAGGAGCTTCAATAAAATTCGTAGTTGAGTTCTTTAACTAGAGAGCGACACCCTTTGCCGAATTTACTTTGGTAGTTCAAAAAGGGTGCTAAACATAGTGGAAACAGGCGAGCTCTTAGGAAACAATACACACAGGAATTGCATTCATAACGAATCCTTTGTCACGCTACATACTATACAAAATTTCCATCAAACCATCTGTAGAGTAGATTAAGTTGCCGTGGACGAACGTAACACTCAGAAGGATTTAACATAGACTCAACTTTTATTATACCGATCGAATCAAATCAAAATCACTTTCTGATTTGTTTTAAACGCATACGTTCGTCTGTTGGTCTTGTTTTCTTGTGTTCAGGGAATAACGTTTGAGATAATTTGATGAAATTTGATACTTTTATGTGTTTTTTGAGTCAAGGACAAACGCTATGGAAACTGGCTCAGGTCGTTTCACCTTTTCGACCATTCTCCATGTAAAGCTTTACTTTGAAAAGCCATTATATGAATAACTGCAGAGTGGCGTAGGGCCGTGGCCACCATAATGACAAATTACAAATTATTATTAATGCTTGGTTCGAAAAATCATTTCGCTTCTATTTTTTTGTTAAAGCCGATATAATTAATTACTAAACTCATACTTACTCCACTTTGCCGTTATATACGTTAGCAGCTGATATAGCGAAGTTTGTTTGAATCGTTTGTTTGAATTTTTGCTCGGTGTTCTGCCAAGTATGGAAAGTTGAAGGCAGTATTTTCAACGTATTTCCCTTTTGTAGTACAGAAAATGTGAAAACGCTGTTCAAGCAAGAGAAAGAAATGATTGGATGTGTACAGAGGGGATGTATTGCCATAGTGCCAAAATTGGTTCACAAAATTTCATTCAGAAGACCCATCACGTTCTGGAAGACCAATTGAAACTAGTAATAAGATCACGAAGGCATTAATTGATGCAAATTGTCGAATGACAACTCGTGAGAACGCTAGGAAATTGCATTTCTCGAATTCAACCGTTCAAGATCATATAAAAACCTTTGAGCTTTTATTTTAAGCGAAAAAAAAAGAAAAAATGGAACGATTTACCGAACAATCCAATATAATTTATTTAGATCAAAGAAGTAAATTCTAGAACTAAAAATATTATTATTATTATCATTATTACAATGAATTTAGCCACAGAAGTCAATTCCGAAAAGGGAAAGTCTGATCTAATGCTATTGGCTTTATTGAAAACCCTCTCACCCCTGAGATTTGAACACACGACCTTTGAATTGTTAGAGATACGTTGTCTACTCAGCCGCTTAGGCGGACCGTACTGAAAGCAGGATGAGGAATATCAACCAAGTCTACAAGCTTTTTTTTTGTGTTTTTGAAGGGTTGACTATGGTTAAATATTCTATTGAAATTATATTCTCCAAGTGCTTATTTTAGCTTCTAACCTAATAACGATATTTACGAAAATCGATCCTTTGTAGAGCAGAAAAGTCTAAGTTTTAAAGTGTGGTGATCGAAATTGACCTACAATATTATAGTAACTACATACAAAAGTGAACTCTACGACATTTAGATCATCTAACTATATTTAAATCTTGCCATAAGTAAGGATAAAACTTGTACTGCATTAGGTTGCATTTTGGGACAATTTGGTGTAGGGTATTTAAAGATTGGCCTTGTTCTTACTTCTTATTATTATAATCGATTTAGTCAGAGGAATCAATGAGGATGAGAAGTAGCAACCAAGTCTATGAACCTAAACCTAACCTAAAGGTTAAGGTTAAATATTTTATTAAAATTATATTCTCTAGGTACTTTCAAGACGTCCATAGAAAGTTAAACGTTCCCAAAACGAGTCTTTGAATATTGGAAAGGTTTTGGCATTCGCAAAGTATATGTTTGATCGTAA